TGTATATATATACACACCACAATTTTTTTATCAATTGATGGGCACTTAGATTGTTTCCATGTCTTGGCTACTGTGAGTTATGCTGCAATGAACATGCATAGATATCTCTACAAGGTGCTGATTTCATTTTCTTTGTGTACATACCCAGCAGAGGGATTGTTGTGTCATATGGTGGTTCTGTTTTTACTTTTTTGAGGACCATTCATACTGTTTTCCATAGGGGCTGTATCAACTTACAAACCCACCAGCAGTGCAGGAGGCTTCCCTTTTCTCCACATCCAGCATTTATCTTTGTCTTTTTGGTAATAGCCATTCCACCAGGTGTGAGCTGATATCTCATTGTGTTTTTGATTTGCATTTCTCTGATGACTGGTGATACTGGGCACCTTTTTCCTATAACTGTTGGCCATTTTTAATGTCTTCTTTGGAAAAATGTCTATGCAGGTCGTTCACCCATTTTTAAATCAGGTCATCGTTCGTTTGTTCATTTGCTATTGAATTAAGTTCCTCATACATTTTGGATGTTAACCTCCTATCAGATACATGGTTTGCAAAAGTTTTCTCTTAATCTGCAGACTGCCTTTTCATTTTATTGATTATTTCCTTTGCTGTGCAGAAACTTTTTACTTTGATGTAGTCTCACTTGTTAAGTTTTACTTTTGTTGCCTGAGCTTTTTGGTGTGATAGTCAAAAACATCATTGCCAAGGTCAGTATCAAGGAGCTTTCTCCTATGCTTTCTTACAGGAGTTTTACAATTTCAGGTCTTAATGTTTAGGTCTTTAGTAGATTTTGAGTTGATTTTTGTGTATGGTGTAAGATAAGGTCAAGTTTTTTTCTTTTGTGTATGGATATCCAGTTTTCGGAACACCATTTAATGAAGAGACTATCCTTTCTCCATTGTGTATTCCTGGTGACCTTTTAGAAAATTAGTTGACTGTATATGCTTGGGTTTATTTCTGGGCTCTCTATTCTGTTCTGCTGGTCTATGTGTCTGTTTTTATGCCAGTAGTATACTGTTTTGATTACTGTAACTTTGTCATATAATTTGAAATCAGGAAGTGTGATGCCTCCAGCTTTGTTTTTCTCTCTCTAGACTGTTTTGTCTATTTGGGGTCTTTTGTAATTCTATACAAAGTTTAGAATTGTTTCTCCTATTTCTATGAAAAATGCCATTGGAATTTTGATAGGGATTGCATTGAATCTGTATATTACTTTGAGTGGTATGAACATTTTAACAGTATTAATTCTTCCAATCCATGAACACAGGATATCTTTCCATTTACTTTTGTCATCTTCAATTTTTTTCTTTCTTTTTTCATTTCTGTCCAGTACAGGGATTAAACCCAGACCTTGGTATTATCGGCATTATGCTTTAACCAAATAAGCCAGCATCATCTTCAATTTCTTTCATCCATGTTGTATAGTTTTCAGTGTACAGATCTTTCACTTCCTTTGCTAAATTTATTCGTAAGTATATAATATGCTAAAAAAAAAATCTAGATTACACAGACCTTGGCCAGGTGCTTCTAGTCTGTTATCAACAAGTGAGAGCACATTAAACAGTTTTTAATTGGTCTTAGGAAAAGCAAAGGTGAAATGAAAATTTAATTCTCCTAGACTTTTGTTTGAAATGTATTTTTCCATCTCTGCTATAAGGAGGGAATTTTAATTAGCTTGAGTCTCACTGTTTGGCCATGCATTTGTAATTTGTGTTCACACTTTGGGAAAGAAAATTTTGATGAAAGGAATTGGACAATAATGGAAATCTTGTCTGAGCATAACAAACTGGAATTATCAAATATATTGCAGGAAGGGCCGGCCCGTGGCTCACTCGGGAGAGTGCGGTGCTGAGAACACCAAGGCCCCGGGTTCGGATCCTATATAGGGATGACCGGTTCGCTCACTGGCTGAGCGTGGTGCTGACAATACCAAGCCAAGGGTTAAGATCCCCTTACCGGTCATCTTTTTTAAAAAAAAAAAAAAGACAAATATATTGCAGGATGACTAGCATTGCGCAGCTGGGGTGATGAGAAGCACTGAGGCTGGTGACAGAAAAAAAAAAAAAAACAAACACTTCGTTCCAAAACGCCACTGTTTCACCTGGCATGGTCTCGTCCTGAGAGGGAGATAGTAGCACAGAATGGAAAGGGCTTCGGAGCCAGAAAGACCTGGGTTTGCATCCTGCCTCTAGACTTTTCTGGCAGGTCACTTAATCCCCCCGATCCTCAGTTTCCTCATCTGTAAAATGGGAGTAATAATACCCACCTTATAGCATTATGAGGACTGAAGGAAATGAATTATGTGAAAATGCCTGAACCATATTAGGGGCTCAGAGAAAGACTAAGAGAATTTCAAAGGAGAGATCTACAGCTGGGATGGGGATACTTGTGAAGTTTTAGTTTGTTTATAGCTTTGAGAAGAAAGTAGGCAGGGGCAGGGATACCTGAGTATGTGTGTATTGGGGGTGGGAGACTCTCTGGAACCATCCTAGACCTTCTTCTTCTTGGTCACTATCGGGTAGCAAACAGCCAGGGGTCCATTCAGGGTTCTAATCTGTACTTAGGAAGGCCCCAAGAGCCCATGCTTCCCCTGATTCCCCTGTAATGTCCCCTATCCACTTCCGTGAGCTTTGTGGGACAGAAGAGGCCATCTAGGTCCTTCAGCTAAGCACAGTACACCAGTAAGTAATTAACTTAGGAGTTTCTCCACCAGTAAATAGGTCCAGTAGCACACATGGGGAGTGGGGAGAACTGTCAGGGAGAAAACAAAACACGTTATTTAAGGTGCTATGAAGAACTGTCAGAGAGAGAAAAGACATAATCCTTGGTTTTGGAGCTTGTAATTTAACAGAGAGAACAAATGAAGAGACAAAACACCGTAGCCACATATGAAGCTAACTGTAAAGATCGGTGGCCACACAGGTTTTTTTTCCCCTTGAGACAGTGCCAAAATGAAAAAACCCTGAGGTCATCGGACCATGGGTCCAGGGTTCAGTTCAGAAAACACAGTCCCCATATTTGTACATGCATCATTCAGTACACATTTGCTGAGCACCTATGTGCTCCCAGAATTTCCTTCCTCTTAGGGACTAGGATTGTGAACTCGGGAGTCAGACAGATCCGGGTTAATTTCCAACTCTCTCACAGTCTCTCTACAATTTTTTAAATTATATTGATTGCTACAGTCAAGCAAATTAGCGTACCTTTCACTTTCCATAGTGACCTCCTGTTTTTCGTGTGGTGCACCTGAAATCTACTCTCTTAGCAAATTTTCAATATACGTTACAATATCATTAACGTTAATCTTCCTGCTGTACATGAGATCTCTAGACTTATTTATCTTACATAACTGCAACTTTGTACCCTTTGACCTACATCTCCCCGTGTCCCCTTCTTCCCAGGTGCTGGTAACCACCTGTTTTACTCTTGGTTTCTGTGCATTCAACTTCTTTTTTTTTTAGATTCTCCTATCAGTGAGATCTTTCACTCACTCTTTTATGGTCTTGGAAAAGCTTCTATCCTCTGGACACCCCAGTTCCTCCATCTTTAAAAGGATCACATCAGTGTGGTTGTGATCATTTAAGGATGTTTTCAGCACAGGGCCTGTGCTAGGCCTTAGGAGGTACAGTTAAAGGGGATCTATTTTCTTCCTTCAAGGCAGTGGTTCTCCCGGAGGGCGAGTTCCACATTTAGCAATGTCTGGAGATATTTGGGCCGTCAAATTGGGTGTGTGTGTGTGTGTGTGTGTGTGTGTGTGCCGCGCGCGTGTATTAAATATCCTACAATGCATAGGACAATCTCTCTCTCTCCCTTCCCCTCTCCCCACCCCCCATTCCCTCTGATTTTGGAATTAGAAGATGGAAATGGGCCCTTTAGGTATTTTCCTTTCTCTCGGAAAGGGAAAAAATGCTGCCATCACTTAATGCCGGTTTTTTTACGCGGTGGCTCTGTGGGGACAGTCTGGCAGCCTCCTCCTTGCTGTCTTCGACGTTCTGGGAGCAGCTCCCTGCGGAGGACGCGCTTCCCCACCCGGGGCTTCCTGGCGGACTGGGCGATCCTCATCCATATACATGTCCCCAATTAAAGACTTCTGGAAGCTGCCGCAAAGCGGCCTGCTCCTTGGAGTGAAACTGAAAGGCGGACCTGGAGCATCTCCGGTCCCTCAGGCGGGAAGGCGAGGCAGGGCCCTACGCAGAACACTGGGAGGGTCTGGGCAAAGGCAAGGCTTTTATGGGGATCCTGTTAGCCTGCTTGGGGCCGACTTCCGAAGACAGCGGCTCTAGGCAGCGCGCAGCCCAACTGTTCACTGCAAACACCCCGAGTGCCCCAAAGGCAGGCACTAAGCGTGCGAGCGCTTGCTGGCTCCTCCAGAGCGACCTGGCTGGCAGAGGAGGGGAAGGGGGCGCCCGGGTCCAGCCACTCCAAACTGGCCGAGACCCGATCTTTGCAGGGGCCCCAGGGCAGCTGTGGGGGCGGGGGCGCGGCGGGCGAGGGGAAGTTTGCCTTGTTCCGAGCTCGAGAGCGCACTCTAGCTTCCCCCGGGAGGCACCGCCCTGGGATGTTCGTCCGGGCAGACCGCGACAGCTGGCTCGGCCGTGGCCGCATAGGTGACGGGGAAGGTGGGGCCACCCGTCGCCCGGTGCTCGGGAGCCAAGATCTGATTTCGGGGACGATGCCTAAGTGCTGAGTCAAACCCCGCCGCTGGGCTGGGTCTGCAGCCCGCCTCCGAGCACAATCTGCGGTGGTTAATGATTGATCGCTGACCACCCCGCCTCGCGCAGCACCAGAGGCTGGGCTCCCTGAGGGTGGGCCGGGGCCGGCAAGTGCCAGGCTGGTGTAAGGGGAGCGGAGGGCGGCGAGGCGGAGCGCGCACCCAGGGCGACCGCGGGAAGCGAGGGCGCGCCAGGGGCTGCGGGTCTCCCTCCCGGCGGGGCCGGATCAGAACCTCCTTCCCCCGCCCTCTGCCGCCCCACTCGCACAGGCACACCCCAAGGCCCGCCCCCAGGCGCCTCCGGGGCCGCTCCTAGCTCGGGCTGCTCCAGGAAGTTTCCATGAAAGCACCTGAAATACTGAGTTACCTTTGCCAGGAGAACTCGAGTGAGAGGAAGCCCTGCGCCCACTCTGGTGAGCTGCAGCCAGGAACTCTGGGCTCTGCTGGGAGGAGAAAGGGAAGTTGAGAAAGTCTTTGGACCTGGTGGCGTGGCTGTTTTCCTTATGGCTTCACTCAGCGGCCACGGCAGTGGCTGCTCCTATGTCATCGACCACAGCCACGTCCCCGAGTTTGAGATGGCCACCTGGATCAAAATCACCCTCACTCTGGTTTACTTGGTCATCTTCGTGGTGGGCATCCTGGGGAATAGCATCACCATCTGGGTCACCCAGGTGCTGCAGAAGAAGGGCTACTTGCAGAAGGAGGTGACGGATCACATGGTGAGCTTGGCTTGCTCGGACATCTTGGTCTTCCTCATTGGCATGCCCACGGAGTTCTACAGCATCATCTGGAACCCCCTGACCACGCCGAGCTACGCCCTGCCCTGTAAGCTTCACTCCTTCCTCTTCGAGGCATGCAGCTACGCCACGCTGCTGCACGTGCTGACTCTCAGCTTTGAGCGCTATGTCGCCATCTGTCACCCCTTCAGGTACAAGGCCGTGTCGGGACCCTGCCAGGTGAAGCTGCTGATTGGTTTCGTCTGGATCACTTCCGCCGTGGTGGCATTGCCCTCGCTTTTTGTTATGGGTACCGAGTACCCCCTGGTGGACGTGCCCAGTTACCGGGGTCTCGCTTGCAACCGTTCCCGCACACGCCACCACGAGCAACCCGCGACCTCCAACATGTCCATCTGCACCAACCTCTCCAGCCGCTGGGCCGTGTACCAGTCCAGCATCTTCGGCGCCTTCGTCGTCTACTTCGTGGTCCTGCTTTCCGTGGCCTTCATGTGCTGGAAGATGATGCAGGTGCTCCTGAGGGGCACGCTGGTGGCGAGCGGCGGGCAGCCGCAGCTGAGGAAGGCGGAGAGCGCGGAGAGCAGGACGGCCCGGAGGCAGACCATCATCTTCCTGAGTGAGCAGCTCCCCCCAACCCCGCCACTGCCTGTGCTCCTCCACAGGGAGTCTCGCCCTAAACGTGTCAGCTTATGTTCATTGAGGCTTGGAGGTCCTATAGCGCAATGAGGGCATTGATATGAGCCTCTGGATGTTTCTTCTCTGTGTTCTGGGGATTCGTGGTGGGTTATGGTGAAAAGAGCAGTAGACTAGGAGTCAGAAGGTCTGGCTGTATTTTAGAATACCACTTCTGTGACCTCGGGCAAGTCACAAAATAGTTTGGGATTAAAATGGGGACAGGAAATGTGAGGGACAAATTAGCTAATGCAGGAGAGGTGAAAGTCCTTTGGAAAGGACCAAGTTCTGCCAAGATAAAGGGAACACTTCTATCCGGTGCTGTCTTTATCAGACAACTCGGTTTTGTTCCCATTTTTCTCCTCCTTTGGAGAAGCCAGGCCGTCAGGGACACACACTCTCCAGGCTGCTATTTTATTCTCCCCAGTGATCTCATGCCCAGTCTCAGACAGGCACTCCCCAGGGTAGTGCTTGGCCTTTGCAATGGTGGGTGTGTTCTTTACCAGAGAATGGCAGAATGGCCTGTTCAATCCAGAAAATCCGGCTTCACAGATTCCTGGGACTTGATTAATCTCTTCAAATACCCAATTTCCATTCAGAGAAAGCTGTTTGTTTCCAAACGTTGTTGTGATACAAGTATTTAAAGTTGGAACCCATGGTCTGTAGGCACCAAAGCCTGCACCAGAGGGGCCTGGTCGCTGCCCTCTGGGAGAATGGGCTTTACTGGAAGGGTGTGTGAGCTAAGGGTTTTAAAAAGAATTTTGTAGCAGAAACCAGAAAAAGATATTACTGTGGGTGGGAGAGTGTGAGTCAAGGGGGAGTTGATACAACAAATGGTCCCCCTCCCGACCCCCTCTTTTCCTTGTGGGAAAGCAGAAGAAATAAATCATGACATTGTTTGTTTTGGTGTGGGAAACCTGAGTAACAGGTTCTAGGGCCAGGAGTTAGACATGAGAGAAAACTGGAAGGCTATCGAAGAGAGATGGGAAGAACAGGGTCTTGTCTCAGCGCCCCTGGCTTCTAGTGTGTCCGTGGCCAGCTGGTTTGACTGTAATCTGTGTCTGTGCAGAATGAGAGGAGGGAATTTACAGGTATCTGGATGCTTACTCTGCATCAGGGGTTGTGCTATGTGATTTATATTTCAACGTTATAAAGGAGGAATTTGAGGCTTAGAGAAGAGAAGACCTAGTTCAAAATCACATTAAGTGTGGTTCCAAGATTCTTTCCTTTCACAGGCATGTGGGGAAGGGAAAATATAATAAGGCAGGACTTTGAAAAGGAAGGTGCTTCCTAGATGAGCCTGGTGGTGTTGCTGTCTCCTAGGGTCGATCTTTCTGAAAGTTGGAGTAGGGGGGTCATGGCAGGTAATATCACCTGGAGACTTGGCAGGGGCACCCAACCCAATTCAATCTCTATCAATCACTGGCTGCTTCCGAAGATATTATAGGAAGGAAGGGACATCGTATTTGTTTAAAGCATGAACATTTGTTGAAAGTCTAGTTCTCCCTTGCTCCATTTCTCCTTAGGCATATTTTAAACTGTTAGTTGGAATTTATACTTTAGTGTGAATGAATTTCCTTTCTTTTTTTTTTTTTCTTTTCCCTTTTCTTTCTTTTTGAGTGCAGGGCACTGACCTGAACGGCTAAAAACTAGGAGTAGACAATAATTAAGAAGTGATCTTCAACTACCTCTCAGTCTAACTTAGGAATTAAGGCTGAAATAATTGATTTATCTTTATTTTCTCTATTTGACCACACATCTTTTTCTCTGAGTAGAAGTATGTTCTCCCGTCAGTGGGTGTTCCAAGTTAAAGTCAGTTTCCATTTTGTAGCATAAAATCAGAATGCCACAGACTTGTATTTAGAGATGAATAGGACGTTGGAGGCCATCTCATCCTGTTAGTAATCACCTGGAATAAGTTTGTTCTCGCTTCTGCTCTCATTCTTTCCTTTTAGCTCTTTCCTTCTTTTTTAATCACTACTGTATATTAATCACCCACTGTAGTCCCAGCATAAAGACTGCTGAATTGCAATCAGGTGCTCAAGGTGAGATAATGTCTTGAGGGAATTTACCACTGGTATTTAGCCCATTTCCTCTGTGCTAGATGTTCAAAGCAGTTCTTGCAAATATCCCCCTCTCCCAATGAATTTCAAAGAGCTTTTAAAAATAGGAACCTCACTAATTAACTCAAGTTAGGAAATAAATTAATGGAGTGAAGAGGAAGAAATCATGGCCTGCATCCATCAAATTAATACAATGCAATTTATTTTGTTGATTTCATAAAACTTGTGCTTTGGGGCATTTTTAACACAGAACAAATGAATGTAGAAATTGTTTACAAATCGCGGAATTTAATATAGTGATTTAGCTGTCTTTTTAGTATTTCATTTAACAGATGGATCAAATTAAAACAAATATTTGCTCATTTCAGACATTTTTAATTTGATGTGAAATGTAAATGACAACATATTACAGGATGTCTTTGGAGCTCTTGAGGCAATAATTAAACAATTAAGGATTTTCTCCCCTCATTGTTAAAAATGCTAACTTTTGCAAAACAGAAATGAAATTCATAAATCTACCCAAGATGAGGAAGCCCCTAGAAAATATTAATTTTTCTTTCTGCATCTTTTGCTATTGTGCTTCGGTCTAGTTGAGGTGTAGGGCTGGCAAATAATGAAAATAAATTGGGAACTCTGGGAGAGAAAGAGAGGCTGGGACACCTACTAGCTCTCAAGCAATTTGCAGGAGAAACAATAATAATGCAAAAGTGCACATTCCTCGGAACATGAGTGTCTCTTCTCTCATCTTGTCAGCTCAGTGAGAAATTAGTACTAGCCTCATTTCCTGTGGCAAGGTTATGGCTAATGTGGCCATGATAGTACTTGTCTGATGTCAGAACAGAGGTTGCTTGTCTGGATTTCTGCCTCTTCTAGAGAAAAGGAACTGGTGAGTTTGGCTTTGTCTCTTGGATGATGAGAATGTGCAGAATGAGCCTTCCTTTCAAGCAAGGCTTTCTCAGACCTTCCATCTTATCTTTTTGAACTCTCCCTTGGAGTTATTTCAATGTATATGGCATTCAAGTCCATGGACACCTATGCTTGTGTCTTTTGCACATGTGGCATACTGTCAAATGTCACCCACTCAAAGGGGAACGACAGAGTAATTTAAAAGAAATACAGTTTTAATTTGTAACTTTCAAAAGTGTAAAGTGATTGAGACTGGGTTACATTTGTCTCCTAGAGAACCGTAGGGCAGCGATTGATTGCAACTACAGGGCAGCGGTTGACTTTCAACTACAGTTATGAAAACAGATTTTTACAGATAATCATGAAGTTACAAAATTAAAGAAACATAGAAGATTCAAGACTCTGTAATAATTATAATCTTTTGCATTCTGATCTGCTCTCCTGAGCCAGAGGGAAAGGGAAGGGGTTGCATCTAGTGGTAGGAATTGCAGATCAACTTGGGTTGCTCATGGGAGAGTAACTCGAATGTGGACATCATCTGTCGTGTGTATTTGGATGGAAAAAGGCTGTAATGGACTACTGTAGAAATAAGGGTGATATGCATTTATATATTTGTGGAGTGGGCCAGGGAGAAGCAAGGAGAAGGAGATCAGAATTACATCCTCTGGATTTTTAGATACCAAATTTAGAGGCCAAACTAAGAAGGCGAGCTTTGTGGGGGGAGAGAAGGGGAGAGAAAGAGAGAGAGAGAGAGAACGCACAAGCTGAGATGAGAGTGGGTCCTATTTATCTGAGGACCATTAGTACCTGAAAATTTCCTTAAAATGGATGGGGTCCAAAACTACATGTGACCAGACATTTGATTGGGACTTGAAAGTGAAAATTGTAAAAAGAAACTTATTTTGTATTTTATAAATACAGGTTATAATTATAGCTATACGTTAATTCTTATAACAATTTAGAATGAATCAAGTGTTGGTTTTTTTAGGGCTTAATTTTCTGACAAAACTGTATGATAGCCTTTGTGTTTGACTCTTCTCAGCAGGATTATACAGAAGGCTTCTCTTCATTCTTTGCTATTTAAATCATCCTTGTTGAAGCACCTGTCCTGGCATCAACCTGTCAATTTTCCGTTCTTCCATGACTACCATTCAGACAGACCTTCATTTGTCAGTGGCTTGGCATTTGATTCATATGTGTCTCCAACTCCCTTTCCATTTACTTTGTGAAATTTTGTACCCCATGTGCAGGCCATAACCCAAAAGTATAATTATCTTAAAAACCAATCCCTATATTCTAATGTATATCAAGTATTACATGGAAATGGATGCCTTAAAATGCTTCTCATGTGCTATAGCAATTTTTAAGAAGTGGTTTTCTTAATTAGTGTAAATATTGGTCTTACATTCATGCTTTCACCATTAATTTTCTTAGCAAAGGCTTTTTTTGTGGTGTAAAAGGATACCTCAACCCAATTTCTCAGGGAAATACAGTTGGCCCTCTATGTCAGTGGGTTCTGCACCTGCGGATTCAACCAACTGCAGATAAAAACCCCTGTAATCACGGGAGTGCGGAACCTGTGAATATGGACAGCTGACTTTTTGTATCTGCCGGTTCTGCAGGACCGACAGGGGAACTTGAACTTTTGAAGATTTTGGTATCCACAGGGGGTCCTGAAACCAATCCTCCCAGGATACCGAGGGAGGACTATACCACCAAAATTAAATTAGTGACTTTTTTTAGTGTAAGATATTACTTTGACTCAAATGTTTGGATATTTCAGGAAAAAGTTTTGCCTCATGTATTTGCATTACAGCCTCTGTTCTCTTCTTCCCTTTCTTGGTGTTAATGTGGCTGTAATAAGTGGTAGTTCATGTTTATTTTTTCTATTCGTGATATCTGTCATAAATTTCAAGTGTCCTGTGATCAGCCTGGCAGACAAACATAATAATGCTGCTTTAGTTTTATAATCAGG